AAGGGTTCAAGGGTCATCCAACGTACCTGGAACCCCCAACAACCAGAAAGAAATGGATGTTTCCCCACTCAACCATTTCCTGTGTAAAGGATTTCAATTGCCATATTCCAGGTGCTGTTTGGTTCGATGTTTGTGGAGGATTTCATGCTCATCCAAGGGGTCCAACTGTCCAAGCTTCCGATTCCAGGGTGTGCCCGAAAGGCAGACCTCCGGAACTGGGTGATTGACTGGGCCTTCGGCGTTCAGCGCCAGTCTGCCAGGTATGAGTATGCCGTCTTTAGCTTTCTTGAGCCCTACTTTCAGAGTCGCTTGGCTTCGACGTGGAGCTCTGAAAGAGCACCATGGAATCTCCGGACGTCCACAAAAAAAGCTGGCAACACTCCCGAAGATTGGTCATTCTCCAATAGTCTTGTTAAAGCCTCCCTCCCACTCATATAATTACCACCTCCATGTCTCCAGCCGCCGCTTCTCCCCCCTCCCGCAACCTGCCTGGCCTCCCCGTGGAGGGTCCCCCCAATCCCGGCTTTGGCCGCCGTCTTGCGCGGCTCGGCCGAGAAAACTTCTTCCACGGCTCGGCGGTGTCCACCTGGCTGGGCTTCGCCTGCACCTTTGTGGCGCGACCCTTTGGCGGGCTGGTCTTGGGCGTGGTGGGCGACATCTTCGGCCGAAAGGCGCGACATCGGGGGGGTCGTGGGACGGTGCTTGGTGCGAACGTTTTGGCATGTGTGAGAGGGGTCGAGGCACCCCATCCATCCGTGTCCTTAGAACTGGAAGGGTCTGGGTGAAAAGACCGGAGTGGTCGTATTGGTGTGGGGCTTGATCTGCTTATTACCTTTGCGTTTGGTTTCTGCTATTATTGTCTTAGAGAATCTCTTTGGATGAGGGCTCCCTGCGCATGTTTCTTTCGGCTGGACAATCTGACTTCACATGCCTTCACACTCTTTTCGACCGGGGAGCGGCTGGTCGACCGCCAGGCTTCGACATTCTTGTCGATCTTCGGCATGATGGTTGGCACCGTGGGTCAAGGCATTTTGCCGCTCCTGGCTGTGAGGATTGCACTTTTTGACCGAGCAAAGAGGGGTTCAGTGTGAAGGGTGAAGGAGGACCAAGGGATACCAAGGGTAGGGCAAGACAAGACTGACCAGTCTTTCCGTGTTTGCTTCTTCAAAGTGCTTACCTATTAATGCCTTCATCATCCTTCATCAGTGGCAAAAGTCACTGAGGGTGATCTCATCACCGAAAAACATCCCGCCGCCCAGTCACTGCCAGTGACGGTCAGAAGCGTCACAGACCAGTGCACCACATACCATCGCCAGGCTTGTTGCCCACATACCAAAATGGCGACGTGTCGGGCACCATCGGTTCCCTGGCTGAACGAGTTGAAGTTCGAAGTTATTCGGACGGCGGTCCGGGTCCGGGCTTCGTAGGTCTGGCCCTGAGCCCAGGTCCTCCCCAGTGTATGAGAATGGGATTTCATAAGGGGTACAGACATGCTACACATTTTGGACGGGTCAGCGGCAGAATTGTCACATTCCAAGTGTCGACTCGGTCTTGGTGCCGAAGACGGAGAATGCGAAGCTGAGAGGCGTCACGGAAGGTGTCGAGGCAGACAGGTTTGTTCAGGGTCATGGGAAAGGCACATGAACCATGAACCCCCTTAGTTGTGGAAAGGGGAACTTTGAGGCGCTTGTGTCATGATCAGATTCGTTGTGCAAGTCAGCCGTGGGTCCCGTGTTTGCTGACAGAGTATACTCGTTCTTAGGCTTGACTTTGTTGGTCTTGCTGCGATTGCTGCAGGGCATATGCACAGGTGCGGACAGGGAGATTGGGTCTCCATGCTCTGGAGAGGTTGTTTTTCTTTTTCTGGTTTTGATTCCCGGGTGGACAGGGGGCTTGCTTTGTTGACCATGCCTTTATCAATTCTTTATGTTGTTTGTTTTTTGGTGCCTGGCACCCCACCCACGGACGCCCTGCAACAAGATCACGGGTGGGAAAAAGATAAATCAAACATCAAAATTAAGATATGATATATCATATCAAATAAATGTCTCACTTAGAGGGGGAAACGGCACGTCTCGCGACCAAGCCACGTCTCCCCCATATCTTACGGAGTGGTGGCACGTCTCCGCTGAAAACGGCTCTCCCCAATCGGACGAGTGGGGAAAAAACACCCAGAATCCTAGAGTCCTCCGGGGGGTCCTGGCGGATGCATCGCGTGAATCTGACTCGAGGGTTTGGTGCCATTGGAGGGTTCCCACTGGTTCGGAGCCCAATTCCTCAGAGCCCAGAGACTTCATGTATGGAATAGATTGGAACTGTTTTTTTACTTTTTCTCCGAAAACATGCCAACATCCAGGAATCCATCCCTTTTCAACCACCCCAAATATAGAGGTAAATGCATGTAAATGCTATACATGGAGTGTTTGGGGAAGAAGAATCTCCTTCACTCGCCGGCAGGTGGTGAGATCGCAGCCGTGTCCACCTACATCACAGAGGTGGGTGGATGAGGGGAGGATTCACATGACCTGATGGACGGGAAAACGGATCCACCGGATCGAATCCCACTTTCTTTTCCGAACTCTTTTCCGTTTCTTGGTCTTCTCCTTTTTTTAGGGTGCTTCTTGGTGCACGCGCGCGCGCGTGTGGGTGTTGCGGGTGTGGTTGGTGTGATTTTATTTTGTGTGTCGATATATTTCTTGCTTTTTGAGCCATGGCCAGGTGGGGTCCAAAGACGCACTGGCACGGTCGATGATGTTGTGCCTTGGACGGTGCTCACCGGTCGATGATGTTGTGCTCACCGACACGTCGCAGTATTTGTTTTGGCTTTTTCGGGGTCCCAAATCGCCAGCACAGATCTTTTTACAGGGCCAACAAGCCTTTTCAAAGCAATTCTACATCAGCCAAAGATCGCCAAACTTGATCAAGTACGTCTTCTTCCTTCGGGGGGCGACAGGAAGGCGTGCATGTGCTTTCGAAGCTGATGCAGTCCCCAAGTGAAGTCTACTTCTCTGGCCCACATGCCTTTTCGCAGCTCATCTTCAACTTCCAGTCATGTCTTGGCGCCTTTTCAATATTTTTCAATTCTATTGACGGGAACCTTCCCATCCCCTGAGGATTGGAATCACCGCCAACATCGGCTTTCTCTTGGCACAATCTGCGAGTTATGGCTTGGAGCTGCTGGGTCAGGCCGGCTCGCCCGTCACGCCGGTGGCGGTCAGACTAGTACCTGGCACAACTGGTACTGTACTGAAAACAGGGTGAGCTCAACTCAACGTTTGACAGAACCGCTCATACCTGTTTTTTGGCCGCCCATTTTAGATGTATCAGTCAAAACAACAATATATAGAGAGGGATGACTTTTGGTGCGAACAATCGGCTGAATGAAATGCACGGGTTCTGCTCGCTGTGCTTCAGTGGGGGGGCGGCAGGAACGAATGGAGAGTTGGGGATGGCGGCTGCCATTCTTGATCACGGCCATCCCTGGAATCATTGTGCCTTACTTGCAGACACTGGGCACGTGGGGAACGGTCGCACTGCTGTTCGATTGGGAAACGGCCATGGTTTCGGATCGACCGCACTGTCCGACGTCAGTCGCTTCCCCGGCCATCAGTCGTCTGCTCGCGATCGGTCACAAGATCTTGCGGATCGATCGGTCCATCCGAAGATCGTGGCGATAACGATCCACGTAGCGATGACTTGAGGTTTCGTGTCCATCTCAAAAAAAGGTCCCAGCGACCGTGGTCGCTTCGAGCCGGATTGGTCCCGTTCACTGAGTTCGGTGGAGTCGGCAGTTCTCCCATGAATTTCTGCTATTAGGTTGGAGGCCATCGCTATTAGGTTGGAGGCCATCGCTAATTGAAACCCCAAAAAGACAACGAAGAGACCGAGTTCGGTGGAGTTGGCAGTTGCGCCTTCCGCTTGCAGCGCTCCACCGGAGGCCACCGTGGGCCGGCGCTGCATGCCCGAGTCAGCGGAGTTCTTGGAGGCCAAGCGGTGAAGAGCGGTGATTACAGAGCGCAAGGGAGGTGAAGACGATGGGGGAGGGTGGCGTGAAGAAAGAAAAGGAGGGTGGACAAGCGGCACCCCACTCAATGTTTTTTTTCTTGGATTTGTTTCTCCTTGTTTTACATCTATCATCATCTATCATCTATATAAACACATCCACTTGGATGTGTTTAGGTTTGTGGGTCTTGAGAACTTTTTGGTGTGGTCCATACTTGGATCCATTTCACGCTGCTCAGAGACGACCTCGTGGCCTGGCCCTCCGGGGCGACGGAGGCTTCATCGCCCAAGGTCAGAGGAGTCGTGCAAAAGGAGCTCACAGAGCTCACAGGGTTCTCCTGGTGTTGCTATATATTTTTCATTTCTATTTTCCCTGTGGGTGAACCCACTCTTAGGACGGTTTTTTCTTCCTTTTTTACCGGCTCCTTAAGCAAGTTCTGTCCCCATCGTTAGTAAACTGAATGGGAGGATTGTTAGTAAACTGACCTGGAGGATCTGTCGGGCGTGTCTAGAGTTGCAGGTCTCAAACAGAGATGAGTAAATTATATTACTGTAAATGATGAGAATACTGTAGTCACGTCATTGGGGGTCCCTTTATCGATATAATTAGCTAACAGTAGAAAATATCATTGCAATTTTAGTCATTTTTTTGGGGGGTTTTGAGGACCATAGCACTCATCATCACTTGCAGCCTTTGTAAAGACAGGCCTCGGTCGGCGCCCCGTGCCCCCTCACGCCAGGGGCGAGCTCGGGCGTCTGAAGCTTGTGAGTCG